GACAGGCAGGAGGAGTTCCAGTGTCTGGCAGCTGCTTCACCTCATCTCGTGTCCGTACTGCTTACCCCTGAGGGAGACCCGGATGCACTTGACATCCCGACTCCGCGCTCTTACGCGGAGGCGATAGAGGGTCCCTACTCCTCTCAGTGGCAGGCAGCTATGGATGCAGAGATGGCTTCCTGGAAGTCCACAGGCACCTACGTTGACGCTGTCCCCCCTCTTGGGGCGAACATCGTCAGTGGCATGTGGATCTTCAGGGTGAAGCGGCCGCCGGGTTCTCCGCCTGTCTTCAAGGCACGTTACGTGGCTCGTGGCTTCAGTCAGCGACAGGGAGTTGACTACTTTCAGACCTTCTCCCCCACCCCGAAGATGACCACTCTTCGGGTGCTGCTACACGTTGCTGCTCACCGTGACTACGAGCTGCACTCTCTCGACTTCAGCACTGCTTTCTTGCAGGGCAGCCTGCACGAGGAGATCTGGCTGCGCCGCCCACTTGGCTTCACTGGGTCTTTCCCTCCTGGTACCCAGTGGAGTCTCCGGCGTCCAGTCTACGGTCTCCGCCAGGCGCCACGTGAGTGGCACGACACACTGAGGACTACGCTTGCGGCTCTTGGGTTTGCTCCTTCTACTGCCGACCCGTCGCTGTTTCTACGCACCGACACCTCTCTGCCGCCGTTCTACATCCTCGTGTACGTCGACGACTTGGTCTTTGCCACAGCTGACACTGCTGGACTCGCCCACGTGAAGTCCGAGCTGCAGAAGAGACACACGTGCACAGACCTGGGTGAACTGCGCAGCTACCTTGGCTTGCAGATCAACCGGGACAGAGCACGCCGCACCATTACCCTGACTCAGTCACACATGGTGCAGCAGGTCCTTCAGCGCTTCGGCTTCACGTACTCCTCGCCTCAGGCCACTCCTCTGCCTACTCGCCACTCACTCTCAGCTCTGCCTTCGGATGAGTCCGTAGAGTCGAGTGGCCCGTATCCAGAGCTTGTTGGCTGCCTCATGTACCTGATGACCTGCACACGACCTGACCTTGCATACCCTCTTAGCATTCTTGCACGCTATGTTGCTCCTGGGAGACACCGACCAGAGCACATGGCTGCAGCGAAGAGGGTGTTGCGATACTTGTGCAGTACGTCGGGCATGGGACTAGTGCTTGGAGGGCGGAGTCCAGTGGTCCTCACTGGGCACGCGGACGCTTCTTGGGCTGACGACCAGGCTACGCAGCGGTCGTCGCAGGGTTACACCTTCAGTCTTGGTTCCGGCTCTGTCTCGTGGCGAGCTACTCGCTCGTCCTCTGTTCTCGGCTCCAGTTGTGAGGCTGAGATCTACGCCGGGGCCATGGCTGCACAGGAGCTTCGCTGGCTCACCTACCTGCTGACTGACCTTGGAGAGCCGCCTCGTTCTCCTCCAGTGCTGTACGTAGACAACAAGGCCATGCTGGCCTTGTGTCGAGAGCAGCGCTTGGAGCACAGAACGAAGCACATTGCTCTCCGTTACTTTCTTGCTCGTGAGCTGCAGCAGCGTGGTCAGTTGCGACTTGCGTACGTGGCCTCTCAGGCCAACACTGCTGATGTGTTCACCAAGGCACTTGCGCCTTGTGACCATCAGCGCTTCTGCACTCAGCTGGGTCTTGTACCTGTCTTGCCTCACTTGCTCTCCTCTTGACCTTACTTGTACTGTCACATATATATACCTGCTCTTGCTTGTCTAGCTCTATATATATATGTGTACTCCTGCATGTGAACTGGCCTTGTGGCCTTGTCGTTGTGCTCGGACTGTGTGGTGACGTTGTGATCCACCCTGAGCTTGCTCTGCTTTGCTTGACTGGTCTTGTGACCCCTTGTTCTCCCCCACTTTGCCTATGGGGGTGTGTCAGAACATATATAGCTTATGCTGTTGTGTAGGCTATAGTGGGGTATCCCATAGGGGGTACAACCCAATTAGGGTTTTCTATATGTACTCACCTCATCCATAGTTCATCCATCCTCGTTCTTCATTCTTCTCACCTTACGCTGTTTTTCAAAGGGTACAAAAAAACTTACACTTTCTGGCCTAGGGTAAAAAATCCAGTACCCTGCCTGTGAAAGGGTAACTGAAAAAAAGCGGCCGCCAGTCAGTGCAAAAAGGGTATTTTACCCTGATAACGAGAGGCCTGTGTCCTACCCTTGAATTCTGTCCTGCAAAGATCCTAAGGGCTTTTTCAGCCCAACAGCTACAACGTAAAGCGAAGCGAACTACAACGAAGTAACGGCGAGTCAACCAAAGCGGTTGATAAGAAGACGACAGCAAGAGGTTAAGCGAAGGTCAAAGGTCAGCGACCTTTGACTCGCTGAAAAGCAGCGCGACAACAAGGACACATAACTGACTCGCTATTTAACAGTTACCCGAGTCGCCGCTGTATCGAACCGCAACAGCAGTTACAGTTAAACCTTTCGTATTCCTTGTAATCATATAAAAACCTTGTATCTCTTTGCTATAATCAATTCATCTTGTTCTCACATACTAGTGCAAGGTGGTTCAATTGGTTTACTATTACGCTTCCACTAAATACATCACTACTCTGAGACTTTAGTATTGAAAACAGTCCTAAAGGCCTTTTTTCAGCCCAACAAATACCACCAGGCGCTGCTCTGCTGCCAGGCGCGTTGATGCGGAGACCGTCCTCATGCTGCCTTGTGCCAGTCCAGCCCCGTGCTTGGATGGGCCAGACCTGACTCGCACCGGTCGATTTTGTCTCGCCTGCTTGTCGGCTCTGAATTGAGCTTCGTCATCTTCACCCTCACTCTCTTCAGTTGATTGCCTCCGTTCTTTTGTTCTCCTTTTCACTATTCCTGGCTCCGTTTCCGTGTCAGTTGTCACTTGTTTTTTTTGCCATATGTTGGTACCACCATTTTTTTTTTTTTTTTTTTTTTTCATGCAGGGTACACTTTCAATTTCTATCTGCCCGAATTCAAGGAAAAGGTGGTGTGTATTTTTTTTTTTTTGGAAAACGCAGCCTCAAGAACACCCCAGTAGAACAGCACATAAGGAACCCCAAAAGACACCCCAACGAGATACCCCCAACGAGACACCCCAACGAGACACCCCAACGAGACACCCCAACAATACGCCCCATCTAACCAAACCCCCCACCCCCCTCACCTAAACCCACCCTCTAAACCCGCATGTCCACCAAATAGGGCGCATCCGCCCACGGAGCATCCCATCCCATCTCCTCCTCAAAATCCTCCCGCTCCACCGAAACAGCCTCTGGGCCTCTCATCATCGACGCCGCGCGCAACAAGATCACACGCGCCTGAGCCCGCTGCAAAGCCACACCTATGGCCGCTTTAAGTGATCCAAGCAAGTAAGCCGAGAAACCTTTCCCCGTAGCTCTCGCCACCCCTTTCGTCTTCGCTACCTCAATCTGCGCGTCGCCCTGTTTCTTAAGCCACCGCCCAAAACTCCCCCCCAGGCAACCCCATGTCTCAGCAATGAGAGGTGTAAACTGCACTCCCCTATGTCGCTGCAGAAGCAATTTGTAGTCCGCCGCCTTCCGCTTTTCCCTCTCTCTAGCGGCAAAACCCACCTTGCGACCAATCTGTCCATGGTGCTGCGCGGACAACGAGATAGGGTCCACCACACTAACCTCCAGCGCATGGTCCTCCCCCTCCCTCAGTCTCCGCACCGCCACATCCACCCTCTTCCCTGGCAGCAACGTGTCGTCTTCCATGGTCACGACCCCACCCGCCCCTTTAGCTATCTTCGCCACCACAAACTTAACCGCGTCGTGAACACGAGAAGGTGCGTACTGGTACTTGCAGCGAACGGCATGATGCGGGTCAGAGGGATCAGCAAACTCAAACCCACACGCGCACTTGCCGGCGACTATCAGCTGCTGTATGGGGAGGCCTAGGCGCATGGACGCACAGATGCTCCACTCGGCTGCGGTGAAGGTAGCCTCTTCGTGCGAAGGGACGGCGGAGACCCACGCCCCTGCCCCCGGGCCCTGAAGGGATGTCAAACGGGCCATGGTGGCGTCGTCGTGGGCCATACCCCGAAGAGTCTGCAGACTCTCAACCGCTAGGCGACGGTGTTGTGTGGGGAAAAGCAGCACAGGGGGGTCAGCGGTGCATAAGGCTAGGGGTGGCATCTCCTGCCTGACCGACTGTGGCAGCAGCTCCACTGCTCTCGCAAACCAAGGATCCAGCAAGGTCGTAGCCTCGGGCGTGCGGAAAAACTCCTCAAACATCCGTTCCTCCCCTGCCACCCCCATCCGAGCCACATCGCTCACTGCCTGGCACCAACCACATGCGTACGACAGAGGGCTAAGGTCAGCTGCAGATCGAATGCCAAACCCTCCAAGTCTGGCTGGAAGGTGCAGCTGTAGACGGGCCATCTGCGACCTTGCCGAATCATGATCCCAGGTGCTATCTGGAAACAGCTGCTCAAAACAATCCTCAAGCTTCGTGTCCCAGTCGCGGAAAGCCTCCACAACCTCAGGCCGTGGAGGCATCGTCCTTGTGAGGTAAATCGGGCGCGCTGACACTGCGATCGCCAGCAGATGGGACGCAATCTGTGGGTGGTCGAGCAAAGGAAGCCAAGGGACAGGTGCATGCAGCTGCATCAGCCGGCCTCGCAAGCTGGCCACCTCCCACTCCTCCTCCCCAATAGGAACCCCCACTACGGTGAGCCCCGTCCATGTTTGCTGCATGCCGGGCGGGACGGTCTCGTTCCTCTCCTCTCCCTCCTGGTCCACCCCTCGCTCCCAAAGCTTGCACTTATGCGGCTTGCACTTTCGTGAGAGCTCCATAGGTTTCATCATTTTTTCAATATAGAGATTACAATCTAGAAATTATAATAAATACATCGAATGCTGGTTGCATGCCGTCTATTGACAAGCTTCTAGCCCTCCAGAGCAGCATACGCGATACACATGGCAAGTATGACACCTAACCAGCCGGCCAGCAATGAGCACTGCGCGTGGGCTACCCCGCTCATCCCTCCCCAGCTCAGCTTGGGACAGCCTCCCCCGCAAGCGGAGCGTCCATGCGCAGCGCGGCTCGCACGGCTGGCGCCACGGGGTACTCCGCTTCCGCGGGCAGCAGCCTCTCCGCTTCCTCCACCCTCCCCTCCCGCACGCCCAGCCGGTGCACCTCGCGGAACAGCTCCGTGACGTCAGCGATGCGCTCGATGTACTCCCCTCGCGCGTACGCGGCAGCGACGTCGCCTCTCAGCCCGATCTGGATGGAGCGGTAGTTGAGGCGATTCAACAGCAGGTCGCGCTCCGGATCCCACTGCACCACCACCTGACTCGCATTTCTGCGATTGTTGCTGTCAGGACGGGTTCCCTTCATAGCATGATGATGTGTGTCGTTGTTACTCGTCCTCGCCTCGTTCGTTGATGCGTCGCTTTGATCTTTCGCTAAAACTGCAGATTCAAGGATACGGTCGAAGCACTCTCGTTTTAGATCCACGGCCAGGATTCGCTCCTGATTCGCGTCTTTGAAGGAGTACCCCGCGCGGTACGCCATCCAGCAGAAGGACGGCTTGATCCACGTCATCCGGCCCGGCTTGAATCCCGGGCTGCTCGCAAAAATGTTGCTTTCCGCGGCGGGAGCGGCGATGGTGTGGCTGTACGCCTGATACACGCGCACCGTCGATTCGGTGAACGACGCGCGAATCTGACGCTCTGGGCGGTTCGCCCGCTCAGTAGCGCCGGAGGGCGAGAGGGCTGTGCTAGGCGGTGTGCTTCCGGCGTGCGAGGACGAGGCTGAACCATTTTCGTGTGCCATTTCTATGCGACGAACTATGTTTGGAGATAATCTAGTAAAACCAGGGCGGATGTACTGTCATGTACTTCTCAACAATGCGAGTTGTAAGGACAATTTTGAAAATGGCGTGAGCAGGGATGAGCAAAGCATTAGAACGAAGAGAGGACCGATGCTGAGACGAACAATGTCGAGAAAACCTAAATACTTCTTAGAACGATGCGCGAATGGCGCACGCTTGAGCACATGAGAATGGGTTAGTCAAGCTTCCTGCGACGGAGGCGTGCGACGCACGAAACTGGTGGCGTGGCAGCCATGGCGAGAGAAGATTGAAAGGTTTGACTCGAAGTCGAGGTTGACAAGTGGAGATTTGTTTTTGGTATATTGTAAGGATTTTTTTGGCATTCCTGACTGTGCACTTCAACATCTCGTACAAGACCAACCGTTCTTCACCCATTACAGCTAATGGAGCTTTCGCCACCTTCGCGCGCTGCATTTACCAAACCATGCATCGCTGGCCTGGCCGAGTCGGCCTACGCCTCGGGACTAGCCCGAACCTCGATGCGAGCATCATAAGTATTCGCTCATGCCTTCGCTCATACTTCGTACTCGTTTGCGAACTTAGTGCAATCCTCGCTAACTCGATACATTGCACCCGTAACACTTGGCTATCATAGCCACTTTCATTTCGGACCGCGCATTTCCGCAACCCCTTAGCGTACTAGGAGCCAATGTCCTCGCGCTCGCTCGTAAGTGCGTGCAGCCACGACTGCGCCTAGCACCTAGACCGGCCGCCATCCTTCGACATGACAGAACAATTCGACCTTGCGAGCCTCACGCAGGAGCGCATGAACGAGTTGACGCGCCAACTGCACGAAATCACCAAAGAAATTGCGGTGCTAACGGCAGAACGCACGTCACTGCAAAATGACATCGCACGGGCGCAACAAGCACAATCAGACAAACAAGGAACACAAGCACAAGGAGCACGACACGTATCCCAGCACGAAAGTGTGGGACAACCGTCGAGTGCTGCTAGTGATGGCGTCGCACGCAATGACGTCGACGACGACCACGCGCACGTTATTTCAGCCGACGGAGTGGAAAAAGACTCGAAGAAGATCGCGACAATTCAATGCTGGCACGTGCCGACAAATTTGATTGAGCTGTGTCAGAATCAACTGTGCAGGGATGATTGACTAGCAAGCAAGGATGAGTACAAGTACTAGGTTTGACCTAAAGTATTGTACTTAGTAGAGGCTACCCCACTACAGCCTACACATGCAAATGTAATTTGACACACCCCCATAGGCAAAGTGAGGCAAACACAACGAACAGTCACAAGACCAGTCAAGCAAGAGAACAAAGCAAAGCAAAGCTCGGGGTGGATCTCAAGGACACCACACAATCTAGGCACAAGCAAGCGGCCACAAGACCAGTTCCCATGCAGAGTTATAATAGCAAGGCAGTACACTGATCACAACCTAGCAAGAGTAAACAAGCAGGTATAAATATATATATCAGTGTACAACAAGAGCAAGTCAAGCAACCAGCAGGTGAGGCAGACTGGGCACAAACCCAAGAGCAGTGCAGAAACGCTGATGATCACCAGACCCAAGGGCCTTGGTGAACACATCAGCAGTGTTGGCCCGCGAGGCCACGTAGGAAAGGCGGAGCTGACGACGCTGCTGCAGCTCACGCGCAAGGAAGTAGCGAAGAGCAATGTGCTTCGTTCTACAGCTCCAGTCTCTGCTCATGACACAAGGCAAGCATTGCCCTGTTGTCGACGTACAGAACTGGAGGAGAACGAGGCCGCTCCCCCAAGTCGGACAACAGGTAGGTCAGCCAGCGGAGCTCCTGTGCAGCCATGGCCCTAGCGTAGATCTCGGCCTCACAGCTGGAACCAAGCACAGCAGAAGAACGAGTGTACCTCCACAAGACAGAATCAGAGCCAAGACTGAAGGTGTAACCCTGTGACGAGCGCTGAGTCGCCTGGTCGTCGGCCCAAGAAGCGTCGGAGTGTCCTGTGAGTACCACTGAACCCCGTCCTCCAAGCACTAGCCCCATGTCCGATGTACTGCACAAGTAACGCAGTACCCTCTTTGCAGCATCCCAGTGCACCTATCTGTGTCTACTGGGAGCCACGTAGCGAGCCAGGAGGCTGAGAGGGTACGCGAGGTCAGGTCGTGTGCTCGTCATGAGGTACATGAGGCAACCCACAAGCTCTGGGCATGGATCACTCGGCTCTACGGACTCGTTCGAAGGTGGAGCTGTGGCGAGGAGAACTGGAAGCCGAAGCGCTGAAGGACCTGATGCACCATGTGTGACTGAGTCAGGGTGATGGTGCGCCGTGCTCTGTCCCGGGTGATCTGCAAGCCAAGATAGCTACGCAGCTCACCCTGGTCAGTGCAGGTGTGTCTCTCCTGTAGCTCCGCCTTCACTAGGACCAGCGCCTCAGTGTGAGCAGTAGCAAAAACCAAGTCGTCGACGTACATCAAAACGTAGAACGGCGGCAGGGTAGTGTCGGTGCGTAGAAACAGCGATGGGTCAGCAGAGGAAGGAGCAAACCCAAGAGCCGCAAGTGTAGTTCTCAGTGTGTCGTGCCACTCTCAGGGCGCCTGGCAGAGATTGTAGACTGGCTGCCAGAGGCTCCAATGGGTACCCGCACGAAACGACCCAGTGAAGCCAGGTGGGCGGCGCAACCAGATCTCCTCGTGAAGGCTGCCCTGCAAGAAAGCTGTGGAGAAGTCGAGGGAGTGCAGCTCGTAGTCACGCTGTGCTGCAACGTGCAGCAGCACCCGAAGAGTGTGCGGAGATTCACTCTACAACGGTAGTGAGCTAGACTATGGGGGTTGGCACGAACTACTAGGAGTGATCATAGCTTTGCCTAGTTCCTTAGTGCTTGCACATTCACGGGAGAAATCAGCAAGAGTTTCCACTAGCAAAGTCGAAATTACAGAATTGTTGAAGAAGCAATGACAACAATGACTACATCAGGCACTTAGCAACTCTGCAGCTCGCCTGGTCGACCCACAGCACAGCATGGTGGACCGCCTGCCAGCGTTGCGTAGCGGAGCCGCGCCAACACTGCAGAAAGGCGACCTGCCAATACACCAGGTCGATAATGTGCCAACGCTGCAGCAGAGCAGCTGTCCAGCGTTGCCCCGTAGAAGACAGCAATGCGCACGCTAGCATGTGCGCGCAGACAATTGGCCCGACTTGCTCCGTTGTGCATCCGTTGGCTGTTGTCTGTGCCTGACGAGCCACATCTACTTCGGGATACCAACCTTAAGTCGCCTTCGTCATCGTGACCTCGACGACGTTCGCGTGCCTCCGCATAACTTGCCGAGCAGGTTGCCCGGTCGACCTGGACAACCCCAGGTGCTCTGGTTGACCACCAAGTGCCTCTAGTCGACCACCAGGTTCCTCTGGTTGACCACCAAGTGTCCCTGGTCGACAACAGCTCCCGTCGAGCTACCCTCTCGTCGACGGACCCCTTCCGTCGACCAGAGCTGTCAGCTGTTGTCACCGAGCTCCCCTCATCGACCGCTGCTCACTTGTCAGGTCAACGGAATGCTCCGTTGACCTCCCAGTCGAACTGCAGGTCAACGGACTGCTCCGTCGACCTCCCGGTTGAACTGCAAGTCGACGGATTGCTCCGTCGACCTCCTGGTCGACGACCCACCCGTCGTCCAGACCAGTCAGTTGCAGCTGTCGAGCTCCTTGGTCGACAACAACACCACAGCGGTCCCCTGCAGCTCGACGAAGCCCGACGAGCAGCTCTCCCACTGTGAACGGTCGGCTGCTACTCCCGTACATCCGACCAAGTCGTCGGCGTTGCCCAAGCAAGGGCGGGGCCAACACTCCATTCCCGTTAACACTCCCCTACCGCGCTCACGCTTGGGCCCCCAGCCCACACGGCAGCACACTACGGAGAAAACTCGTCCTCGGCGTGCACTCCACACACAGCACGCCGTCACCGCACTAGCCGTGCAGAAGGGCACGGCACCTACTGTTGCACATCATCGTCGCCGTCGCTGACGTCGACCAGACAAACTTGGCCGATGGCGACAGAGCATTGGTTGAAAGCCGGAAAATGCAACGCCTTTGTGAGGAAATCGGCCGGCTGCTCGGTGGTCGGGATGTACTTCAGCATGAACTTCCCGCGTCTCACCATGTGCTGCAGCCTGGAGTAGCGTCGCTCCATTTGCTTGAGATTGCCCGTCAGCCCCAAGCCCTCAGCGACCGTGATTGCCGACTTGTTGTCGACGCGGAGGATGGTCGGCTTCCCAGCGTCGAGTAGCTTGAATTCCGCAAGAAGGAAACGAAGTCGGCGTCCCTCCTTGCCTGCATTCGTGGCCGCCACGTACTCCGACTCGGTCGACGACAATGTCGTGCACTTGATGCGCGAGCTCGAACAGGAGATGACGACCCCTCCGTAGACGAACACGTAGCCTTCCGTGCTCCTCCGGTTCTGATCGTCGCCCGCGTCGTCGGCGTCCACGTAGCTGATCAGCTCCAGCGAATCTGGTCCACCGCCGAACTCCAGGGCGATGTCGCGGGTGTCAGCGAGGTAGGCGAGGCAGCGGTCGACCTCGCGCCAATGCTGGTTGCTCCTCACCGTGAGGCCGCTCCCCAGATTGCTGCAGGCGAAGGCGATGTCCGGCCTCGTCGTTGTCGCCGCGAACTGCAGCGAGCCAACCTTCTGCCGGTACTCCTCCTCCTCGCGCTCCTGCGCCTCCTTGTCGTCGAATGTCAGCTCGATGTAGGCATCGACCGAGACCAGCGTCTTCGGGACTCAACCGCCCTGCTCCTCGTCGATGAAGCGCCTGTGCAGCTTGTCGGCGTAGTTATGCTGGTGCAGCCACATCGTCATCGCTGGCCTATCGCGCACGATCTACAGCCCGAGGTACTTGATGACTGGCAAAATCTCGCGTAGCTCGAAGGCAGCCTCTAGCAGCTCCTTCAGCTCCTTCAGCATCGTGGTGCTGCTGCTGGCGGCAAGCAGGTCGTCGACGTAGACC